ATTAAAGTAATAGTTATACACTATTTACAGACTTGTATAATACCGTAATAACAGATATGAGACTACAATATATTTAAATATAATAACTGTAGGTACAACACTGTTCTTGATCTGCTGTCTTCATATTGTGACCATGGCGTGGACGGCCCGCCTTTTTAATAACTACTTCGCTTCCGAAATAAGGATGTGGCAACGTAATATCTCGTTTATCGATGTTCTAGTACAATATTATTTTATAATAAATGAAACACGTTTTTTAAATCAGATTTATAATTCCGAATGTAACAGGTACTTAAAAATATATGATTGAAATAGGTTAAGAAGGTAAATAAAAACTATGAAAAAATAGAAAATTTTAATAAAATGTTATACAGTATGTACTATGTATACATGTTTTTAAATATTAAGTTCTATAAACCTGGCATAAAAAGTAACAAATTAAAACAATAAACGATTATATATAATTATCACAATTACCAATCAGTCTTATACTAATAAATCTTTTGAATAATAGAACAAAATTATACAAAATCTACAATACAACCTGCATTCTGATCATCTAATTCGCTGGGTGCAAAGTGGGTGGTGGGGACAGTGAAATCGATCTCAGCGCGCACCGTGGCTAAAAAAGGAACTTTTGGCAGACTTTATTCCACGAAGTTATAGGTAAATATGGAGCCCACACTTAGAATAAAAGTTTCGAGTCAAATACTCTCGCTCCTATTCTCTGAGGCAAACTGAGGTCTGATCTCGTTTTCTAGTGTACTACAGAAATTGAAACAAACTGACCTCAGACAGTAGAAGAGAAATAAAAATTCAAGTAGGTATTTCAAGTGTGTACTGTGTACTCCATCTTTACCTACACCTTCATGCTTTATTCACTGCTTACTCCTCGTAAAGACAATGACAGTCAACTATTTGACGTACCAAGGTCCGCCGAGTCCGCCGACCGCTAGTTGGCGCTGTCATCGCGCACCCAGCGAATAGTAAGCCATGTGTTATCAGGCATAAAAAAGTAACAAATTAAAACAATTAACCATTATATATTATTACCTCTAAATCAAATTCGTCCAAAGATTCTGTTTCCGAAAATTCTTCGTCATCTGAGACTCCTTCTAATATGCGAAGAAGTTCTTCCGTAGTCATTAAATTCCCACTCATTATAATAGTCACTTAATATAAATCTTGAACTCGATATCACAAGTAGATTAATCATAAATATTATTCATTCACTTCACTAATTTCTGGTCGCCGCGCTTGTGACGTCACGAACTTGTCGTCTAGTCGTGACCATGGCGTACAGGGTACTGATAATTCGGGTTGCGTTAGGGATGCGCTTGAGTTGGGATTAGTGAATATCGAAATTCGACCCAACCAAATTTTATTTTTGACTATGTAGCTTATTGAATGATTTTTAAGACTGGTTTTATAAAATTAATGCTGCTTTATCCTAGTACCAAATTATACCTAAAATAATATATTCCAGAGGAAAGTTTCGAATCGATCTTTGATTTGAAATAATGATATTATCCAACATGCGCTACATCACTAGCGGTCACGCAGTTATGACTCTGGCGTGTGAGGACATTCTTTTTTCAGAGTTTATTTCTTTCTTTTTAACGTAAAATTTCTCAATATTTATAATGCAATTTAATTAGTTTTATGGAAATAAATAAATTTTGGACCTTCTATTTTACAGGTATATAAATAAATAGGCATTAAAGTAATGTTTAAATAGTTTATTTCGTGTTTTAATGTACCGCTGTTTTTGTCACATATTTGTGTCGTTGGCGCTCAGGGACAGTTTTCGCTTGTCACGTATTTGTGACCCTGGCGCTCAAAAGGTTAAGTAGGTAAACCGAATTGAAAAATTATTTAAAAATGTAGGTCCTTGATATACTATACGAATGTCCTTGATATAATTATATAATTATACGAATTAGATATAAGTTATGAAATGACGACGAAATGAAATAAAGAACATTTTGTTAGAATGCGGTGCTATAAAAAATAATGAAAAATATACTTATCTTCCCCCGATTACAAGTTCGAGTGCAGTTGCCACGCGAAAATCTTCGTTCGTTTCGTCAGTTCTTCTTCGTCGAAAATCTTCGTTCAACAGGATAATTTTCTGGTTGTAGGTAGTTTAAAAAATATGTATCATGTCATTGGATTTTTACTTTGTACAGTCTGTTCGAGTGTATTGATCTGACTCGTATCTAGTAGATATCTACCTACATAGTATTAAGGTCTTTAACATTACCATCTACTTTTCGTTAAATACATTACAACTATTTAATTATTATTTACTTAATGTGCATTATTTTTAATAAACCGTTTACTATAGTGCTTATAGTTGAGCCCATCGTTTTCACCAAATATTGTATCACTCCAGTTTGAACTATTTTCCACTTATGGAGGTAAGATTTTCAAATATAGCGTTGTTGTGAAATTATTCGAGATTGCTTTGAAGAAGGGAAGCTGAAAATCTGAGAATTACCATATTCTTTCTGGTGCTGTCGATACGCTTGCGTGACTGTAAGGGGATAGCGATTGGTACAAAATATACCATGTGGTCTCAATAAATTTTACATGAACCTATACAACCTTTTTCAAATTTTGCATCACTATCCTTATTTTATAGGCCAAATGTCTATTTTATAAAGCAGCATTATATAATTAAAGCAATGATGGATATAAATATTGAGGTTTACAATTTATACATCAAAAGCTATTTAAAAACCGATATCATTAAATTCATGTAGGTGCTAAGTAGGTATTACTAGCAATTTTATTACCTATAGTCGCCTGCTTATATTATTAGAATTTTGTGGATAAAAAAAATCCGTTCATGAAATATTAGGTACTTTCGTTAAAGTTACATATAGGTACTATTGTTGTATTGTTTTCATAGTTACGAACTAGTACCTTTAATTGAATTAGTAGTGGTGTAAATAATACATTAAGAAATAATTTTATTTCTACCCGTATTTTCAAAATTACATTTCTTTTATTTAGTTATTCCAATATTCCGATGTCTTCCGTGCACGTGAGTCTAAGGGGGGCCCTGTACACGTAGGTTGTACCTAGGTACACATGGCTACACATCGAGCTTTACATAACCAGTATAACTTGACAGAATAAACTGAACGTTAAATGTGCAGAAAGATGATGCGACGCGACACCAGGATTAACTTGTTTTGTATAGGTTGATGTGCGGCCGTGTGTACTCTATGCAATAGTAGGAGTTAGTTAGGACGGTTTTTCGGATAAATAGGTAGGTACTCAAAAAGGATAAATACTCAGTATTTATATATTTATTAAGTATTTATCCGTTCTGTAAAAAATGCTATCTCTAGTATGTATTCGGTTGCCCACGCGACGCGAGTCGGTCGGAGAGCAGCAGAGCAGATATATTACAAACGTTCATTTTACATTAAAACGGATTTTAATTAATAAATAGGTATAATGAAACAGAATAATTATGTATCCAAGTCATAGTCATATATTAAAATATCAGTAGGTAGGTAAGTACTTAACCCATATTTTTATTAAGTACTAAATAACAATTAAGGATTGTATTGATGTTATTAAAAGCCGGAAGCTAATATAGTTCGGTAATATTCTTATCTACTACAAATTCCATTGTGTAGTGGAAGTGGAATACCGATTCAACCGATCTTGTACTTGTACCACTTGTTTATTTTCCAAGTTTACTTTACGAAAGTGACGTTTGAGTATGAATGTTGCTAGAGTATTGAATTAGTAGCCTTTGGTAGAAATTTATAATTATTAATGTAAAAATGTGATCATTCTATTATAGTGTTTAAATTCTAGATAAACTTAAGAGTAAGAATATTATAGAAATATGAAGCATTTATAATACTTATTTCGGAATATTCTTCTCAGGTTTATTTCTACATTTAGGTTTCTTGTTAAATAAATCCAAATTGATTTAATTCTATCAAAGGACCCGTTCTTTGAATAAAATGGTAAAGATATTGTATTCACACAAATTATTATTTTTTTCAAGACTTTACAAAGTTTACTTTGCAATTTTTAAATTTTGTATCAGCAATAACTACGGCCATCAAACTTTTCGGTGGCCATAAAATAGAGAAAAATCAAATCCATATGATAGATTTTCGCCTTTAGACAAAAAAATAAACACAAAATTTCAAAAAATCCTAATTTATATATTTATTCTGATAGCATAATCTTCAATATTTATATGGTTATTTATTTCTAACAAAAAATCTAGTTTGTAGGGCTGGATCAAAGTCGTGATAAATGTTGACATTCAATATGGCGGTATGTCGTCAGTGCTATGCTGTGTCGTGGTGAGATTTGATTATTTTATAGTTTTGTATTTATTTGCTTTCAAATACAAATGATTACCGTCAGTAGAACTCCTAACGATCACGTTTCACGTATGTGATATACTGTTCACCCCAACGGAAGTAGCTTTATGAGTTAAGCCTTGTCCCACGGCGTTGTAATTTTTACTCATCATATTCGTTTCGTTCTATCGGACGAGCGATGCCTACCTAGATATTAATATTAAAATGTAGCGATGATCCAACGCAACGCTTTGTTGTAAATGGACGCATTTGGAAGTATTAAGATTTGTTCTTTGATGTAGTAACGATTGTAATATAGAGGCTAACGAAAGTGTCTATTGCAGCTTGTGAATATCGAGTTAAACACGTATAGATAGCAACAGAGTTATACGAATCTACCTTCATCCAAGCTAATGTACCACGAGCTCCGACTCAGCAAGCATTGAAGACATCTGAGGATTTAGCATAACATAATCATAAGTAGTTTTTATTTTGCAACATTAGTGGTTTTGGTGTATAAATTGTGACTTTTACGTTAAAGACTCCATAGTGTTCAAATGAACACAAAAGACTAAAAGAAAATGTGATTTGATGTAAAAATTTGTAACCTCTACGGAAACTTAACACCACACAACATTCTGTGATATATATCGGTACCCTAGGTACTGAATCTTTCTACCTGTATTCAAGAAAGCTACAGAAGACCAAGAATGTCCAATCCTCAGTGGAAGATGTTCCAACCGCCCGAAACACACTCATCACCCTTGCAAGACATTTTAGATCTCCAGCATTCTAACATGCAACCCAAAGCATCATACCGTAATGGTGAGTGCATATGAGTATGCTACTGCATGTATTACTCGCTTGTTATATTGGCATTGACATTTGTATCAATTGATGCCACAGGAACTGGTGGTATTCATGATTTTATTAACTGCTGTGCTTTGTGATATATGGTTTACAACTAGAGAATTGTTATGTGCCAATTTTAGTTTTGAATAGTATCTTATTAGAATTTGTGTCACTTTTGTCTAAGTTTGCGACTTTACATCTGTTTCATCATAGGTATGTAAAGTTATGCACATTTTCAATCTGAAGGTTTTATTGTGGATTACAATATCTGGTTGCGATTTTTATTTTCAAGGTATTTTATTTTTTTGACGTTGCTTTATTGACTACTTACTGAAATTTAGTTGTTCATTATTATTAATATTCTAGAATATATTGATACTCATGTTTAGAAAATTCTAAAGTATTAATTTGTGGTTTTCATGATAATTAGAATTAGGAGCTTAAATTATTTTCCCTTTTCATACTAATGGCATTTAATTAAATAATTTAAGTTTTCAATAATTATACTCTTAACTAGTTGAGTAACGGACATTATAGACACAATTAAAGAACAATAGGTTGCGGACACCGGTGACCACTTGGTGTTTGACAGTTTAATTAATATACTTCAATACCTAAATCTACCATAAAATTGTAATTGTAATGTACAATACGTGACCAATTTTTTAACTTATATTTAAAAATATGATTGTTGTGCATTATCAAAACAACATAGATTCATATTAGACTGCTAATAATATGAAATGGAAACCTCATAACAATAGTCTTGTAGGAAATCAGTACTATTGTTAGTGAGTTTCAGTAAAAAGACATCAATCACTGTTCTTTATCAAAAGCAAAAATATTATGGAGTTATTTTGCAAAAAAAGTATTATAACTATAATACTTAATTTAAACCGTTGAATGATCACTTATAGCTATGTTATTTCAATGGCAGATAACAAAACTCTCTGGTCATGGAATCAAGACTTAACATAAAAAACAAATAATTATTTAGCTGACCACCATTCACATTTCTATTCATCTGTTCTAATCTAATGCATGCATTATGTGTTAGTACCTAACCCAAATTATTTATAGTATCTAATTTTACATGTCTTCTATATGTATATTGGTTTGTTGAGGTTTCCATGAAATAGTACTTCTGAATCTGCTTAAATTCAAATAATTAACTTCTGAATGTCTTAATTATTGATTAGAATTTCATATTTGAAACAAGAATAATTATGAAAACGAGGTTTATGAAGTAGTATTGCAATTAAAACAATTACAACTATTTTAGTTCCGTTTCCCAGAATAGTGCCTGCTTTAATGAGTTACTGGTATTCATATTATTATGAGTTAAAATGATCGACCCGAGTATTGATTCTCATGTTATTCCTCGATAAATACCTATACCATATTATGATTTATTAACACAGCAATAGTAAGCAGCTTAGCTTTGCCGTAATTTTAGGATTTGAAGTAGAAAATTGCCAACTATAAGTGTATCATAGTAAGTATATATGTATGTAGTTATTAATTTCAACATGATAAAATTATAAACCATCTTTTTTTGTTATTAGGTGAGTATCCAAGTTCACCAAGGGATAATTACAACGGTCAATCAAAGACTGGTGGTGGCAACCGCTTCTCTCTGGGTTACAATATTGACGGCTGTCCAATGGGCGACTCGGTTTATTCTTCTGGCTCTACTAACAATTCTTCGTCTCAACAATATGACTCAATGAATCACCCACCTATTAGAGAGACAGGCATTATTGAAAAGCTTCTGCACTCCTATGGATTTATTCAGTGCTGTGAGAGACAAGCCCGTCTCTTCTTTCACTTCAGCCAGTTTAGCGGCAATACTGAACATCTGAAGATAGGAGACCCTGTGGAGTTCGAGATGACATATGATCGTCGCACTGGAAAGCCAATAGCTTCAACGGTGACTAAGATTGCACCTGAAGTGGTAATATACTTTACTAGTATTTTATATTATGTCAATGAAAGAAGCATTTGTATTTTTATTTTATTTCATTTTAGGTGTTGAGTGAAGCCCGTGTAACTGGGACAGTAACTACAGAAGTAAAGGGAGAAGGCTCTGGGGACAATACTGGAAGAATTTCGTATGAAAATCGTGGTGAATGTTTCTTTTTACCTTATACTAAAGACGATGTTGAGGGTAATGTCACTCTGCGCACTGGAGACGCTGTCAGTTTCCAGATAGCAACTAATCAGCGGTGAGTGCGATGTCTATGACAATGACAATGATTACATTTGATATTAGATGTGTCTAATAACAGTGATAATATTGTAGTGGTACGTTGGGAGCGTGCCATGTCCGCTTTGAAAATCCTGTGCATCCTGTCAAATATCATGGAGTGGTTTGTTCCATGAAGGAAAACTTCGGATTCATTGAACGTGCAGATGTAGTGAAAGAGATATTCTTCCATTATTCGGAAGCTAAGACTAAAGAAGAGCTGGTCTTGGGAGATGATGTAGAATTCATCATTCAAACTAGAAACGTAAGACAATACCTATAAGATTGTTTTTACTACTAAAACTGTATTTTTTGTTAATGTTTACCTTTCTTGTATAGGGAAAGGAAGTGGCTTGTAACATAACGAAATTGCCGAGCGGTTCCGTGGTGTTTGAGGATGTTAGTCCGGAGATAATGCGCGGACAAGTGTTGAAGCCATTGGAACGCGGGAGCTTGGTGCGCGTGGCTCAGAACGATCCTCTGCCTGGCCGCATCAGATATCGGGCAGCTGATCACTCTGAAGTAGAGGTACCCATTGTACTGCGTTGTTATTTACAAAACAACAGTATTAAAAATTCTTCGAAAGATTGACTAACATTGGTCTAAACTCTAAATTATTCAAAATAATTACTGGAAAATATTGACCCAATCCATTTTTACCCTCGATAGTTTTCAATAATAGCGACAGTTATATCGTCAGAATCTTTAATAAAGTCACGTCCTGACCTTTGCTGGAGATATTTCAGTTTTGTTTCTTGTATTATTTCGCCAAAATTTTCCTGCTGATTTTAAATTGAAAAACTAAAATTGGAATTTTAGAACAGCATTTAACTAATTCCAGTATTGATTTAGGTATAGGTGCAAAATGTATACATATTTTACCGAAAGTAACGACAATTGTAAAACAGAAATGTTTATTTCGTTTGAAATCCGCAATCTTACTTGTCTTTGTTGTATGGGATATGAGCTGGATATGAGTAGGAAATAAATCACACACGCGCTTAGGCATTATGTAGTCCTTCACGTCATATCTTTCAATATTTTTGCGTTATTAGGACATTTCTAGGTAGCTATTATTTATGTCGCTAATACATACATAAATTGTATTCTGCTTTTAATATTAAAAGAAATATTAGCCAGTCCATATTGACGGCACGGTTGGTGCGCTGGCTCGGCAAGCCGCTGCCGCGCAACGTTCGCGGGTTCGATTCCCGCACAGAGCAACTCTTTGTGTGATCCACAAATTATTGTTCCGGGTCTGGGTGTCATGTATATGTGAACGTGTATGTTTGTACGCACCCACAACACAGGCGAAAATCCTATTGTGGGGAATATCGTTTTTCGACGAATTCGTATAACAAAGTACATATTCACCGGCACCGGATAGCGTGGTGACATGAATATATGTAAAGAGAATTAATATATAGTAAACAGAATTAATTTTGTGATATAAAAATAGGTACATTTCGTTTAAAGAACCTGTTGTTTCCGTTTTTTGATCCGTTGAAGACCTGCTTTGTCTGGCTGGCCAGCTTAGGATGTTGGACTTCTCCCTTTTTTGATAATATATAGCGAAAAAATAATAGATTCTAGCATTATACCAGGTGTACTCAAATGTGGTAATTAGAAGTCTTATCTGCTTAGGTACCTTTTGGTGACAAGGACCAATGTGGCGAGTTCACTCTACGCCACGGGGATTGGGTCCAGTTTCAAGTCGCCACAGATCGCAGGGATCAATTGAAACGTGCCACAAACATCTCATTGTTAGATGAATCATTCAATGTTTCTGGTGAACGGTGAGAATAGTTCCTGCTTCAGTATACAGTACAATATTAACAAAAGTTGCTTTGTAATACTGATTGTGATTATTATTTAACTAACCTTATATGCGTAAACAGGAGGGAGCAAGGAGTAGTGTGCTCTTTGAGAGAAGGATTTGGATTTATTCGGTGTGTTGAGAGGGAACACACTATGTTCTTCCACTTCGCCGAAGTGCTACGTCTTGGTCAAGAACTCAGTGTCGGTGATGAGGTAAGTGCTTACTACTCTTATAGTAAGTTAAAATTTACTAAATTTATTAGTTTATTCATAAAAACAAATATTCTCTTTGCAGGTGGAGTTTACAGTAGACCCATTGAGCACATTCTCGAATATGAACAATCGCCAATCTGGCATCCGCATTAAGCATCTCCCTCCTGGAACTGTGAAGTTCGAAACTCTGATTGAGCATGGCGCCCGCGGCGTTGTCACGAAGGAGGCTCAGCTTTATCCGTCTTCCACTTCTAGCCCGTCTCGCCCCCCTCCATCGGTAAGTACACTGCATTGTACGAGTTTCATAACAATAATATATTGTATTATTATATTTACTATGTAAGTATTTCTATTTTAAATCTGTCATTGTCTTGTATCCATCCCACAACCATTTCGTACTTCATAAACCGTTTCATGGCTTCGTATCTCATACATTTTCATCTTTTGCCCAATATTTAATTTTGCAACCATTAGATATAATAATTTCTCCCCTCTAAATTCGTGAATCGTGACTCTTCATTTTACCCATTATCATGCATCAATGCATCTTTCAATCTAGCGGTTTGTTTGATTTATTAGAAGATCCCGCACAAGTACTGTGTAATTTAAAGTCTGAGTTTGAGCATCCTTTTACAACAGGTTTTGAATTTGTTTAGTGTGGTGCAAATTGTATATATTAACCAATTCTATTTCTTTAAGAGGCCAGGCAAAGATAGTTTCTTAAATATGGGGAGAAATCTGCCAATACTAAATTTTTTATTTTTCCTGCCTAAAACCCATATTCAGCATGTGGATATGCTGGTGAAATAATTTTGTAACTTGTAGGTTAAATGTTTGACTAAAGGTCCACAAAATTACACATCTATCATATCTATATATTTTATGAGTATATCTCTTAAAATCGTATTGATATTTATAAATTTATAATTTATCAAATTCTATAAATGTCATTGATTTTATTTATATACATTACTGACTTAATGATTTTGTCTAAAATATTATTAAATTAATGTCGGTGTCTTATCCATAAGCAAGTATATATTAAATATATAATTTTCAAGTAAAATTTCATTATTTAATGATAATTTTACTTTGATCTTTATGTCTCGTTGAATGAACAAATGATATTGCTTGTTTAATTATATTTGTTCTGTGATTCGGGACGTTCGATAGTTTCATAAACTTGGTTCTATCCGTTTTGTCTGTTGAATTTTCCAAAGCTGCAAAAACGGAAACTGAATAAACAACAAACGCTTTTGCGTAATCTTCGAAGGCTTTGTAAATTGGTAAGTTTATTAACTTATCCAAAATTTGTATGGTATGTTCGCAAATACACCTAAAATGGTGACTGTTGTAAGACAATAACATTACAAGTTCGCGTACTGGATGTATGTATTTCGATGGTCGTGATAAACCTGTTGGTACATGCATGCTCCTTGTTGGTATTTAGGCATTGATGTTAGATCTCCCCTCTACAAGAAACACTTAAATATGACAATATGGTGCAACTAAGTTTCTTAGTTATGAATGGCATGGTACATACATACTTGTTTGCTTCAAAGTACAAGTAGGCTTTAAATTACCGTATGGCATTAAACATTTACTTTATGTTAAAAATTTGACTGTAATGCATTTATTTGATATTTCTATGATACTAATATTTATGTCTTTATACAGGAATACAATGGCTTGATAAGTTGGCAAGTAAACCAACAGACTAAGAAATCCATCCCATTCTCAGCGAAAACATGTGAATCCAAAATGCTCCCGCGTAATGGCGATGTTGTTACTTTTGACCTATACCAGGTGTGTACTTGTATATAAAAAAAAACTATCTACTGCATAATATGTGCCTATTTTTATATATTGATGCAATCGGGCTAAACTAAATTATTAGCTTGCTTTGGATCAAATAAAAGTTCGTTTTATGACGTAAATAACTGTTATACTTGATAATTGTTAACAGATAAAACGAACAAAAGAGTTGGTGGCTAAGTCAGTACAAGTACAGCACAGTCTTACCAACGGGAATAACAACAATGGCGCCGGCAATCGGCCTCTCATGCAAGGCTTTATTGCTGCTCTTAAAGATGGATTCGGTTTCATTGAAACCTCGGACCATACAAAAGAAGTATTCTTTCATTTTAGGTGAGTTGTAGTGTTTTGTTTATCAACTTTCTTTAACACGGCTTATATTCTGACATAATATCACACTTCATTGCTTGCGTTAAAATAGATTTACATACTCGATTCAAGCTCAATATGTGTTTCATAAATTTTTATTTCTACATTAAAAATTAGTTTAAGTTAGGTTCAATAACTCTAAAGTAAAAGAATAACATGTAAGCACTTTACCACTTTTAATATTTAATTAGTTACGATATCAGAAATCACTGGTTCTGAAAAGACAGCTTCTCTGTCATAGATTAGGTTTAATTGCGTTTAACGAAGCCAAAAAACGAAATTATGTTTATTTATGTATTTAGACTTATCATTATATGAAATCGTAAACTTTAATGTTATAAAGACTAATCTTGGAAAATGTAATCTTTTCCTGTCTGCACGTAATATTATGTTAAGAACATAAAGTTTGTGGGTCAAACAGGTCAGCGATTTTTAGAAATTCATGCGCATATATTTCCGAGCAAACCGAACTCCTCCGCATATCTTCATTCCATGTTGACGATTTGCTATAGTCACTCTTTTAAAGATCCTTTCATGTAGGTACACTCAAAAATAATACCATACTTATTTGCATGCTTATTGTAATGCTAATATGGGAGTTGCGTATTATTTTTGCTTGTTCGTTCGTTCGTTTGCTCGCTCATACTTGCATAGCCCTCGGCGAATCAAATTGATGTTATCACTCGCCAAGCGATTGTTTTGAAATTCATATTCAAAATATCCAAATGGTATATTATCTGGTTTGCTAAATGCTGTGACTGCTGAGCACTTTCCTTTAGTTTATTTGGTGATAAGTCAAAATTAAATAAGAATTTTCTCGAAATCTACTGCAAAAGGGGAGTAAAATTGGTTTGGCAACCACTTTTTGATTGTTTGTTAAATACAGAAAATCTAATCTAGTCAATTTGATTTAAAAACATTGCTATAAATAGTGAACTTAAAGACATTATTAACTTTTAACTGCTAAAGTATCCACGTTATACTCGAGTCGCAGTCTGCATTGTCTGATCAATAAATACATCGGAAACGTCTTGTCGTAATGTTACACCAAGTGACTCTTATGTCAAGTGATGCTGCTGTTTATTCAATTGGTAATTCAATTGTACGGTCAGTGCGACTGGTCAAGCGAATTTGTTATCGATATGAACGCAGGAATTTATTACTTAGATACGGGGTACTTGTCAAAGAAAAATCTTTTAATGAGATAAACAACATGTTTTTGTAAAGGTTTTTGTAAAATTTTGAGAATTTTAAAATTATTGAGGAGATATTTATTTTTGAAATATCCGGAAATCGAACTTGAGGCCATTTGCTCGCTTGTGACCACTCGACTCACGAGACGTCACATAAATACAAAATTATCTTTTCAGTAAAGGACAAGTGTCAAAATAGTATTTCATTATGGTTGGTAAACTTATTAGTTTGGTTGCTGAAATTTCATGATTTTATTTTGCGATTTGTTCTCAACTTTGTTTGACTATCATTAGCAAACTAGCAGTGTTAAGATGTTATTGTATTCGCGAAAGAGGCAACGCGGAGGCGCGAGGGATGTGGAATCCCCTGTCAAGTAAATATTGTCTCATTTCAATTTATTTATAGATAGTGCTATTGTGATTATATTTGTATTATGCAAGAAACCGTACGTTATCAGTATCAGTTAACATTCAAAGTATTGTATTCTATGCTACTACTTTGCTTTGCGTATCATACCAAAAGCCTATGCTTTTGCTGCTCGCTTACCTCATGCCAAAATGGTCCTTAATCTATACTTGTTTTGCGAAGGTTTATAAAAAGCCCGGTATATTAATACTGGCGGTTACTTGAATGCTCTGTATGATATATTTGTTACTGACGCGTAAAATATGGCGTCGCAGTTTTTTTGTATTTTTAAATGAATTCATATAGACCAATTTCCATAGATCTGGAAAATAATTTTAGTTGTATTGCTTACAGTAATTTGGAAGGCAATCCAGATGGTCTGGAACTAGGCTGTGAGGTGGAGTATACCTTGGGACGAGTGAACGGGTCTGGAGGCGGGTGCGCGAGTGCTGAGTACGTGCGGGTGTTACCTCGCGGCTCTGTACCCATCGCAAAGCCGCTTGACCCTACACTCAACGGAACAGTCACCAGGACTTTGCGGGCTTTGAATCCTGACCAAGCTCACTATTGCGGTAAGTAATAAGTAACACATGCTTATGTAAGATTATTATGAATTAAAGTAGGCTCTAGGCAGACGAGAATAAACAAGTGATATCAGTATTATAATGTATCAGGCATTCAAGTACGTTGTGCGGAGTTTATTAGTTACAACTAGGGGGACATGGGTGTGAAGTGGATGTCACTTCATTCAATTATTGCGACTGGTGCGGTAGTCAGCATCACTTATATGGATTTGACTGTGTTCCATTCTAGATGCAACCCATGTCAGATTTATTTTGTGTTCGAATTTAGGTGAAAGACAATGGTAGTAAGTAGTAATTAATGATCAAGTTGAAAATATATTATTGTAGTAATATTGAGACTAATTAGCATTCTTTTACCTGATTTCTTAAAAACTGATCAACTCTAAAATGATCTAAACAGGTTGCTGGGTGGTAATTGATTTTATATAAGAAGACCATGTATTATTATGTTTTAAAAGACCATGTATTGACAGATATTTTAGGTTACTAAAATTGTAGTGATGATCATTTAGTAAAGAATTTACAATGCACTGTTTACCATGAACATATGTATGCAAATAACAGCAGAGTACTGACTTCCTCGTTAGTTGTGTGTTGAGTGTGATCATGTGTCACCTTCTTACTTCCATTTGAGAAAGGTGGTCTTCTCTATGAAATGAAGTTATAAGTCGTTTAATTTGAACACCAACTGATGACGTATGTTAGCTGATTATTGATCTGATAAGCCGTTCAGAAACTAGGTATTAGTAAATATGTATTTATAATAGTAGAATATTTTTCCGCAGGATTGATTCAAGTAGAAGGTGGCACCTCGTACGAGTTCGGTATAATGGGATTGGCGTGCAAGCGTGAAATACTACAGGTCGGCGACCCAGTCACTTTCCAGGCCGACGTAGAGGGCCGAGCTACAAACATTGTGCCAATTAGGAAGAAGAGGCGTGCCACTGTTGACGCTATTAAAGGTAATCAAAAGGGACTGCAACCTCCAAAAATCTGTTTGCTGGCACTGTTGAGGGAATAAGGCAATTTTCTGCGATGCACCTATTTATTTGCCTGTCGTTTTTCCAGGTGGATTTGGTTTCCTCTCCCTGGAGGCCGAGGATAATCGTCGCCTATTTTTCCACATGTCAGAAGTTCGTGGTAATCCTGCAGATCTACAGCCCGGTGATGTGGTCGAGTTTGTAATGCTGACCAACCCTAGGAATGGCAAGTCGTCCGCTTGCAACGTCGTAAGAATTGGGTAAGTAAATTTGAGTTTTGCTATCATTAAAAATTGCTATATTTAGTTAACATTCCATTTTGTGGATAAGCTTAAAATACAAAAGTTTTAAGAGTGCAAAAATAATATTCGTTCAAATAATACATTGAATGGTGTGTCATATCGCCTGAATGTCCTATTTTACTTAGTTTTAAACAATATTTGTTTTCGTCTAATTGTTAAAATGTTATTTTCAAATTACAGTGGCAAAGGTTTTGCTGGGGGCAAGGCCAGGTGCGAACGCCCGGAGCGTTTGTTGGCGCGGCTTCGTACAGCCTCGCTCGAGGATTCTAGTGGACCACGGGTAGTCGTATTGCGCGCCCCTCGTGGTCCCGATGGTACTCGTGGTTTCCGCCCACGGCGACCTGTCGCAGGTAACCAATCATATTTTAACTACCTGTTTTATGGCATAGGGCAGCAAACGAGCCCATGGATCACCTAATAGTAAGCAATCCACATCCCCTATAGAAACTCTCAACACCAAGTGAGTTGTGAGTGTAGAAAGTGCATTGCCGGCCTTTTAGGGATTGGGAATTTGGGTTGTGCAGGATTGGGTACCTGGGCAAAATCAAATATGGATCATAATTATTTTAGTTATAAATTATAACTAGACAGTTTTGTGTGCCACAAAATGAAAGCCATCTCCCCATGCTTAAATCAATTATACATTTTTATTTCTTTATCTATTGGGGTTTGTTACTTCGTTTTGCAAAAAATATCTGCATAATATGTCAGTATACCCTTCTGATGTGAATTGGACTATGGTTGTACTGTACCTACCCATGTTAGCTTTATTTTAAAATAAAAATGTTATTTTAATATTCCAATTGATTTTATTCTTTCAGAACAACTAGCTGAGTAAGATCAAGACATCAGCACTAAGGCCTCAACCATGTAGGTAAACATCTTAATGGTTTGATTTTCCACTTCAAATTTTTTCATTGTATTCATGAGAGACTGACTTATCCTCTTTTCTTTAGCAGCATTTAGGAAATTGTTTTGTTATTTTTACTAATTCTAGGTGAAAACAATAAATTATTGTCAGCTGTCATTAATACAGATCAAATACACGTAAATATGTTTGTATAACATCAATAAGCAAGGTACATATCAATTAATCAAACCAATTTGCGTTGCTTATTTTCAGTTTATTTATGTAAGAGGTTCTTTTTCGCATAGAGACGTTGTTCAAAATTCCGTTTGCACCATTCCTTGGCCAATGTAAATGTTATGGTTTGCCAAGTTCAATATGTATTTGTCCGCGTTGTCGCGACACATGCCACATGAAGTAGACGTGAGCACCGAACAGCTAACCATCTGATTATTAACTGTTCGCTGTATTGGGATTGGCATCGAAAACAATGTAAATATTTTATAGAAGCTAGGTATAATGTGTATAAAATGCTCATAATCAAATGAACCCGGCTAGTGTGTGAATCCATTGTCAAAGAAGTATCATCAGGTAATGGTTATAACATGAATGTTGCATACACTGTCTGTCAGCTGGAAATAGATTTTCGTCGAAGCTTAGTGTGTCTAAGTGAACTGTATAAGTAAGGTGCGTGATGAAGTAATGTAATAAATTGATGGACATTTGATACACGTTGTTGCGGTTGTTGTTACGTTTAGTAGATCTCTTTATGCGAAACATACTGTGATGATGAAAATTTGTTGTGCAATAAAAAGATAAGATGTTGTCCTCACAGGACAGTGCTAGTCTCTTAGTATTATGCGATCCCCGCTCGTCACGTATGCGCTTCATATGATATGTGTCGTACACTGTGCTATTGTGATGATGGCTAACCTTAATTAACGAACAAAATATTCATTGTTAATCGGAAAAGCATTTATGCAATGAACTGGAATGGAACCAAAGACTGACTTAAAATATTTATAACAGTAATACTTATTGGTATTAGATTATTTTGATCGGCTAATTGATGTGGACCCAAGTGTTCATTGTGGCCATAGGTTTGTAACAAATGAATGTTTTCACGAGAAATGTATTTGATTTAAATTTTTAGTTTATTAAATTATGAAATCAAAGATATCTCAGTCTGCATTCTATTTTAATATATAATGTAACAACTTATTAGTGTAGGTAAGTTCAGGACATCTACAAACTGATGTGATGTAGCGATCTACTTTAATGTCGCTATGACCTAACATACAGCAATAATGTTTTCTAAATTATGTAACTACCTCCTATGTACATATATTATATCAATCTAACAACGACGTACCTACTTATTTGTTTGTAATGTGGTTAGGGTACTACTTTGGATGTAAAGTAATAATTACTAAATTTATTGTTAGTTGTTTCTCAATTTGTCAATATCTAAATAAAATGAGCTGGAAACTGTCCAGGAATTGAGATGAAACACCCTTACTACCATGAAGTGTGCTTCAACACTTGTATACGCTACAATTACATAATGTTGTTGTGTTACTTGTAGTGATTCCAAGCAATAAAGTACTCCTATGTATAACAAATAATGATGCATTATATATTGAATATGTTTGCGGCTTGTCGATGGCGAACTTATTTTGTACATAATACTCATTGTGAGAAATATGATTCAAATAATTATTGTTATGTTTTGAATTACTCAACAAAACGCGAGTAAAACTGTGATTGATGATAGGGATCTCATTGGATCGATATAATTATATATTTTATTTTATGTTGCTTTATATAAAATATCAAAACTTGCAATGAAGAAAAAAACTTCCACGAGCTTCGAAAACGTTTATTGTCCTTCACATTGAAAAATAGTCAAGAAACTTAAAAAGCTTAGGGAACCCCCATGCTTAGGAAACCATGTGTCGATGAGACTATATTAGTTTAACAAGATATTGGTTATACTGGTTCCTATATTATTATAGTTTTATCAATAGTATCAAAGTTAAATTCTTAGTATTAAAATTGACATTAAATTTTTCGTGATGCAGGTTTATTTTGGTAGTGTTATTTAATTATGTTAATTTTACTTATTATCTATATTATTTTTGCTTTTAAAATTGTTTTAGTTTTGATTTTGTTACGTGTATCCATTGCCATCCCTATCATTGTAACGGCAATCGATCTGTAGATTCACATACGGAACTTGCAACGACTATGTGTACAAGTGAGTTGTATTTTATATTATAAAAAATATATAAAATAAAATCTTGTTTACAAACACAGCTGACAAAAATATGTAATAGAATACAGCTATAGAATACAGAATACAGCTTATTTGGTCTGCGTGGTGTGTTGTAAGTCGAGTCATGTGCTTCGTATTTTTACTTCAATCTAAATGTGCTTAAGCACTCACTCTGCATTGACGTCGAGTATGGATAACAAGCTATTATATAAAATCTCGCCTGACTAAACGCACATAACAATAAAACTATAGTACATGCATAGTTTTACCTCGTGATTATTGTTAGATATAATGGTAAACACCACGTCTCCCTTAAGGACTTATGACCCTGTGATAGCTATAACAAACAAGGATATAATTATGGATTATTAAATTTTTAAGATGCCTTAGATGAAATGTTTGAGCCTCATCACCATCTTTTGTTAAATGTATTAATTTTGTTACCGAAATTTATAAACATTGTTCCAATTTGGAAATCGCAATAAACTTATCATAAAAACAAAAATATTTGTATCTGTCAAATCATATTGATAAGATGTAGGCTAGCGATACTGAATTTGCGCGCAGTGCAATGAAACTTCAGGTATAGAAATCGCCTGCATTACATGGGGCAGGCAAAATTGCTTATTATTAGTATCGCTAGATAAACCACATATAATTATAACTTACGTGAAATTGCAAGAAGCAATTATATCATTTAATGATGTAAAAAAGTTAACAATTTTTGTTATCAAAATTTTGTATAGTTATTTTTATGATCGGCATCGTTCTTAGATTTGATATTGGCAGATATTAAATTAAATGGCTGGTAGGCACGATGTCAGTTTCAAAAATAAATGAGGTTTAGACAATATGAACTTTATTTTCAAAGTGATGACTTGGCTGTGAGTTTGAATGGACTTTGTTACGTGTATATTAAAGTCCTCAACGCAATAACTTACGGTTGTATGCGACTTATACGGTCGACATTTTGTACTCCGCTGCTACGGCCTGGCCGCAACTTAGCTTTGTTTGGACACAAGCCCGTTAAATTATGATTGTAATATACACCGTGAATTTATAGACTTACATTAACAGCTCACTTTGTGCAGCCATTGAGCAAACTGATACCTGAAGTGGGCTGTCATTGTAAAACAAGAAAACACCGATTATGTCACAACTCTGGTCGTCATTTCGGAGAAACATTTTGTAATATTTTTACAGTAAGAAAGCTTTAGTCATCGATTCTAAAGTCTTCCAATATTCTTATCTATTTCTTGTTATGGCCACTTAGTTTGTACCTGTCGTATTTTTTCCACCGACACTGCTATATCCATGTTTTTATCTACCATCAAATCTATGAACGACTTAATAATACCAAATATCAGCATTTCTGAATTCATTTTTAATAGAAACACTCTTGGACTGACATTCGATTAAGCAATAACATATTGTGTTCATTCAAATGTACGGAGCGCCAATCAGCTTTCGTGAACTAGTGCACATTAGTGTATACATGTTACGGTTTGATGTTGTCTCCAGGATAGTTTACGGGGTGTAGGGAACCTGCTTCTGTACATGTCACTCTCTAATTAATATAACTTAAAGGGCTTGTTTCACCACAGCCAAGTAGAAATGCCTAAAATTCTCCGCTAATCAGCCAAAACAAACAGCAGCATGCAACTCATTTGTGCAAGTGATTCTAATAGAAAACAACTTATTTGTCCAGATCATTTATAAAATATTTAACATTTATACATAATATTGAATAGACTTTTCTGGTTACTTAGTTACAAAACTGTAACTGATTTGATTTTCAGGGTGGGGTTATATAGAATCGTTGGGTTATATAGAATATTTATAAAGGAGTTTATGGCAATAAAATATTTTTTCAAAATCATTTATTTCATGTCGACGGGATTAAATAATCCTGTGAGCTTAGTTTGACTTCTTTTTCATATAGAAAAGAAATCATTTAATAAATTTTTAGCCTGAGAATACGCTGATTGCTAATGTTACGCAGTAGGAATACAATTTCGTATCTTTTTTATGAACTGTATCGTTGTACATCTGATAAAATCACTAGACGGAAAATTGTGTATTTTGATTTACAGTATGTGTTTTTCTAAAAATGACATTTTATTATACACATGCATGTGCTGCTAACTTCATATGGATTTTTAAGTCAGGTTTCTGATTAGGGAGCGACGATGACAACTCCGCGTTTCGTCCTATGATAATACGGGATATAAAGGAACCTTAGCAAACCGAGTTTTTTGGTGCCCCCTGAACTAAACAAAGACCGTCCGACCTTAATTTTGTCCGTTTATAATACACTAATACCCGTGTCGAGTTGCCTTACTACTGTCTACTACTTGACTAAGCATAATTTGTATAATCCTATACTATACTTTAATCCTACGTGTTTTTTAAAATTGTATTAATTCTCAGTGCCCTAAATCTTTTTTGTCTGTATAACTGTATCTTTGAGAACTAATGAAGTTTAATAGGGGGTCCCCTCTCCGGGATCGGCAGCAATAATATAATGAAGTGGACATCACAGGAGCAGCGATTGCACCCCGTTCGGCTAGCATCATGACGTTCTCACTATTTTTACTTGGGTGTTTAGTAATAATCTTTGTAATAACGGATATGATAGACATTAATGACGATGACAATTTGACATCTCGAAAGTTCAGCCGCGTGATCACGTAGATCATAGTTGTATTTAATATATAAGTCATAGTAATCTAATTGTTTAGAACTTGCATCTTTTCTGAGAGCAATAATTACTCAAGTATGTTACATCTATTCGTTGCTATTTATACGGTATCATCAATAAGTAATCGGTATGTAGCTATAGTATCTGTGCGGATCTTGTTTATTGGAAATATGTACATAGTTAGTACGGCGTCAGCCACTTTCTGATTGTGCGACTCCACGGTGTCAAATTGTCGCCCAAAACTATTTACGAGTACTATTAAGTGCTTACGCTTTTTTAATATGTAATCCCAAAGAAAATAGGAATTTTGAACAAACGTTATATGCTTTACGCTTAAAACCAGTCTTTATTATACTGTATCAAATATAATAATATGTATGCCCATGTAACCAATATAATAGTCATAGTGAAAATGATGTAATAAATAATCGAAATATTTGATGTTGTAGTGTATGGAACTTAAGCCCCGGATCATTTCGGGTATAGGTATTATTATAAACTAGTCTTAAACATTTGGTTTAGGCCCACCTCGGCACTTTTCCGTCTCGGCATTCATGAATTAATTTTTCATTCCTATAGTCGGCATCCACCGTTAACCATTGTTAGGTACTTACATACTTTATTCAACCAAAGAATTTAAGAGGAGGAGATCAAGAGGTGTAATGTCGTGGTGGCCCGGAGGTTTAAGATGCTCGCTTCTCATGCATGAGAGGTGCGGGTTCGAAACCTACCAACGGCAAGTACCAATGTGTCTTTTTCCGAGTTATATGTACTTTCTAATATTATCTAGATACCACTGACAAACGGTGAAGGAAAACATTGTGAGGAAACCTGGGCTTATAATAGGGACTACCCTATGCCACCTGACAACTATGCCAGGGTATGAAAATTAAAAATCTAATTAGTCCGTCAGTTCGATAATGAAAAATATTAGACAAGATTTTTTTATTTTCTCGTATAAAGTTACAATACTTAGATAAAATGGAGTTAAGTTTAGGAGTGGGAGGTCGTTATGTCACAAAATGTAGCACATTGTGACGTGACACGATATTTCAAATTAATATATAGTTGAAAGTATTTAATTTTGTGAAAGAAGAAAAAATACGTGCGTCTAATATTTTAAATTAATCTACCAGACTGACATTAAAATAAAATTTAGAAAACTACCCTATTTCTAATTATAAGGTTAAAGACGCTTTTGGTCAGCAGTGGCCAGCAGTGGCCAATTATAGACTGTTGATAATGACTTGCATAAAAATTTAAACACAGTATCAGTATATTCAGTAAATTAACTTTCACAGGCCTATTATTCATACAAAATGTACATTTTTAATATGTTCTAAAGTTCTAAAAACATATTTATTATGCCTACCATTTTATATTTAAATGAATTACATTTGTTTTTATAAATGGTAAACAATATTTATATTGATTTATAATTTTCTTAATATTTGTGGCATTAGTGTATCCAAAGGTAGAAAGACCGCCGAGAGGAATTTTTCGTAGGCATGATAAATAAATTCATGGGTGCCGGGATAGGAAGGTGCAGAGATGGGACTAAACCAAACATTTACGCCCGGGCGCCTGTCACGAGCAGATGTATTTTTAAGCTAAACTGCTAACAAATATGAGATCTGATAAGGGAACCTTCTTTTCTTCCTTAACCATCGAAAGTTTCAGTGTAGCTACGAATTTGGCGAACCAGTAAAATATAATCAGTGCCTAAAAGAACCTCTGGGATATGAAAAAAAAAACCAATCAAATTGTGAAATTATTTAAGCATTTCAGAAATTACAAACTTTGATTAATCATAAGAGTTTATTTTTATTTAAATCTTCGATTGTATTCTTTAGACAACTATCTATGCCAAATGTTTATACAGCCCTGTACATTTTTAAAAATTGTGATTAAACCAATGTACACCACCTTACTCGCGTTGTAATCCCTTAATTTGTGTCCGTATTCCACGGACACGACCAATCCCTCAGTAAACTGTTTATGTTTTAGACATTGGGTATACACACACTCATCTCTATTTTACAATATAATTGTAAGAATCTAAAAATTAAGTTTAACAGTTTACCATCAATTTCTTCTAAGGTAATCCCTTGAATTTAAATCTTCAAACTTTCAGTAAAAAGTGGTTCCTTAAGTCTGACAGTGTGAAATATGGGTGTGTTATTACAGAATTCAAAATCGAAAATACCAAAATTAAACCCTAACAAGATTTATACATTAAATAGTAAATAAGTTAGAATATGCACCCACGGTTGCGGTTGGAGACGAGGTGATGGGACTACGGAAGACGAGGAACTGTTGTTCTATGGTAAGTACTATGAAGACCACTTACCAGTAGGTACAAGTACATCAAGTGCAAACTTAGTACATATTTTAGACAATTGTGTCGAGTGTTTCGACTAGGGTGCTTGGAAGGTCGATGCAAGTCAAATATCATGAATATTTTGGTCCTAGAACTTGGTCTCTATTACTTGTTGGTACGACTGATTAGGGTAACGCATTAATAAGACATCAATTGAATAATATTTTTTATTAAAACTGTATAAAATAAAACAATTTTATTATCTATCATTTTGATATTTGGGAAAACCCACGGGACGGTCTAAACTCTAAGGTTATCTGGGTTCACCGATTGTCACAGTTGACTAATTTTTAATACCTACTCGTTCATAAGGTCCACACTTATGAATAACATTATTTGAATACATTTGAAATATTTAATTATTATTTAATTTACAATATAATTTTTATATATCAACTAAAATGCGTGAAAAACTTTTATTAGGTTCACTACTATTACATTAATTTGACTCATACGTAAATGGTGAAAAATTAATGTTATATTGCTTATGCAATGCGCAATTCTGCCTCCCACATCGGGATTAAAGTCATGCTACATAGCATTAATGTTTCAATACGTATTTATTTTGTTAGGTTGAAACTAATACAATTTAGGTACATTTCTTAAGTAATTATAGTTCATTAGTAGATACAATTAATTGTAGTTCTATGGTACCTACACATAAAAATATAATGTCACATCTACAGTATCTTAAAATATATCCAGTCGAGAGCCTCATTGTGATGCTTAACGATGGTGTCAATATTTGATAATATTTTTATTATTTTAAAATGACCTACAGTACATAATTATTGTTTACTTATATAATTAGTAAAACAATACCTATAATACAAACTACAATAATACCTTTTTCGACACATAGCACATTCTAATAACAAAGCTTAAAAGTATGCTATTTATATGGCCTAATAGAAATATTTACTATCGTATCTAGCTACTAAAAACTATTCACAAAGTTTTCGGTCTGATCCTTCAGGGCTTGTAAATCGTAAAGTCCGTGTATTGTATTCTCTGTTAAAATATGACATTTTGTACTGATGGGAAAGTCCATACTCCATGTCAGGCAGTTGTTTCCGACATGACGTATTGTGGTTGATCCATGCTACATTATGTTCACCCTCTACAAAATGGCTGACTAACTTAGGTAACCGTAAAGTACTGGTACTGACCAGTACCCACTACCTACTTTACAGTTACACAACAGTTTGTGTACCTACTTTATTTCTGTTTTGTATCTATTTTATTTTCTAATGATGCACGGTTGGCGCGGTGGTTGGGCAACTGGCTGCGGCGCAACGTGTCGCGGGTTCGATTCCCGCACGGAACAACTCTTTATGTGATCCATAGATTGTTGTTCCGGGTCTGGGTGTCATGTGTATGTGAAGTTGTATGTTTTTAAACACACCCACGACATAGGAGAAAATCCTAGTGTGGGGTAAATAAAAAAAATAAACAAAATGTTACTTAGGTAGTTCTCCACGGGGAGAACTAACTAAGTTACATTTTGTTTATTTTATGACAAGGGCAAGACCAAGAATACGGACTCTTGGTCTTGCCCTTGTCATAAATTTTTTTCACAATAGGTAAAGTTAATAACTTTATTTATAGACACCTAGTTGTGTACCTATTTGGGTACCTATCTCGGTTGTCGGTCCAGATATAGTTTGACCCATCTTAAATACCTATATTTATATACCCAAGAACTCGATATGTATATTGAATGGCCACAAATTATTCTACAGTTGTTGTGTATCTGTGTACTATTTTATTTTTTATATTTTATTTACTACTTCTCTGGTTACTCACATGCCTACACATCTCACACTTATAGATGCACACATCAAACTACGGCTGGGTCATTCAGTCTCTGTCTCATAACAATGTGGTTGTCTCATTTATATCTGATAACAATGTTCTCAGGGTAGAACTGGTGGGTGGTGACGCCCTGTTATAAATTTGTTCACAACTTTTGTCTTTAAAAGTGTCATTATGCGCGTAGTGGGGCCACTTTTGTATCTCTCTGTATAGATTGGCACCAGGACTATATGAGGAAGCCAAATCTTTCGCTCCGACGACACGGTAGTCTTTGTCTAAATATCCAAGCTCCACACCCTTGTCGAACAACATTTGTGCTCTTTGGAGTTGTAGACTTGTCACTTTTGAATAAGATGGTAAACCTTCGCGGTAGTCACCTGCAAATAAATATTTTGACTTGGTCAGTACCTACATCTTTAATAATCAATATTATATTTCATACTAACTGTTGCCCGCGACTTTGTTCGCGTAGAAAATGATTCCTGTTTTATCCCATGGGAGCATTTAATCAGGATAAAATGTATCCTAAGTCAGCTCATACCCTGGCTGTATACAAAATTTCATCAAAATTCGTTTAATAGTTTCACCGTGATTGACAGACAAACATCCAAACAAAGATTTCACATTTATAATATAAGTGTGATTGTCGTAGGTACCTAAGCAAGGATTTCCAATTTGTCAATCTACAAAATATTTAAAAAAGATAGACCGTACAATTGTGAGGACACGGAATCATATTAATATTGAAACATAATTCAATATTGACAGTAAATAAGTAGGCAATCGAAAAAGCTGATTAATCTCAGTTTATTGGATCGTAGAAAATAAAATATTGATGTCATATATGATGAAAGGAGAGAAAAAAAAACTTTAACACTATTTTTTACCGTAGGTTCCTATGCCTAGAACTACTTTTTATTATAATTTAAGTAAAATGGCATTCTGTTCAAGGGCAATTTGTGTTAAGTTTTTAGAACATTGAAGATGTTGATGGTTCTTACATAATCGTTTATCCTTACTAATATTATAAATCTGAAAGTGAGTTTGTTTGTTTGTTTGTTTGCTTGTTCCACCATCACGCCGTAACTACTCAACCGATTGCTTTGAATTTTTGCAGACGTAAAGTTAGAAGTCCGGATTAAATAATACGGTACTTTTTAACCCGGAAAAAGTTGATATTCCCGAGGAAAAATAAAAGTATTGGTATAGATGGCGCTGTGTGTATTGGTATATGTCACATAGGCTACTTTTTATTTTTTTGTGACGCGAGCGAAGCCGCGGGTAAAAGCTAGTTACCTATAAACGCTACGCCAAGAGAGCAACGGTTGAATCCTAAGGTGTGTGCACCAATTTTCTTCCAACTGCGACCTTCATAAACTCTTCCTTCATTTCCTATCACGAAATTGTATCTGTAAAGAGAAAAAAGTGGAATCAAGTTAAAAGTATCAGGGTAGTATCAGGTAGGTACTACTAATCGGTATTTTTTTCTCCTTTAGTATCTAACGGTAACATAAAATGGGAACGAAGCTCATGGTTTGCCAGTTACGTTATTAGATAATTCAGTGCAGAAAACGACAAGCTTGCAATACCACATGTATCTGATGCATTACTCTAAGCTCCGTGCGAAAGTGGACCCTATGAGAATTTAACTACGAAACTTTTTGCTCTGATTTCCTGACCCACTTCGGCAATCGCGATTAGTTTAGATACTTACGGCAGATTGTACTGGTAATGGCTGCTAAAATATGACTGGAGGTTGGCCATCTCAGCCGCGCAATTCACGAACAAATGGCACTCGGGACTGACAGTGTGAGCGATGATGATGAGTTTCACGGGAGTAAATTCAGTTGTGTCGTCATCTAAGAACTTTGGTGCCAGCCACATTTTTCTGGTGATGTACCAATCGTGTGGAGCTGTAAGACAAGAATTACCTGTAGAGTGTGTACATACTAAATAGGTAAATGTAGAAATGTAGAAATATAGACTTCCTCGTTGGCCGAGTGGTCGCAAGTGCGACTACCGGGCAAGGGGTCTCGGGTTCGTTTTCCGGGTCGGGCAAAGTATTACTGCGTTTTAAAAAAAATCTCAGTAGTAGCACGGAGTTTGGAATTGTGCCCGGTATATGGCAATAGGCTCACCCCCTACTACACGGGACTCATAACATAATTAGTGAAAAGTGATTGTTACTTCTGTGTGCACCTCTGCCTACCCCTTCGGGGATAAAAGGCGTGATGTTATGTTAGAAATATAGGCTTGAAGAAAAGGCTACAGTCCGATAATAATATAATTAATCACACACAAGTTACCTACATATATCACATGTGGGTATTTATTATCTATAAAGATATCTTATTTCTCGGGACTAGGTTAATTTGTCCTTGCACGCATTACTTATCTACTAGGTATTGATATTGCACTTTTACACTAGTGCGGCCGGACTGGTGGCCACCATCTTACTAGGAGTTCAACAGCCTTTTTTTTCTAAATAGGGATGTGAAGTCTCAAACAATCAATGTTTCGTGGTTTCGAATCTCGCACAGAACACTTATTTTGTAAGTAAAGCTATGTAAGTAAAGTAATACATATAAGAGATGTGGGTGTGATGTGTCGGAAGGCATGTAGGTATGTGTTTATAAATACAGGCATAAGACAATAAGTCTTGGTTGTAAAGTCATAGCCATATTTGTGATAATCTTTGATGTTGACTGTGCAAAATTGAAAGGTTAAAAAAGCAATTCTTACCGACATCTACAATATTATTTACATTCTTCTTAGAAACGACGGTGAAGTAAACTATTAAAATGATGCATACAGCCAGCACTACAATGGCGGCTGCGCAGGACAGTCTTTCAGCTCTCGTGGTACTTTTCGCTATGTCCCACAAATACCGAGGCAAGGGTAAGTCTGAAATGAGATATGAAGGTTTTGAAAATACACATCAACAATCATACAATCCAATAGACCACGTTAGACGTACATAGAAGAGGAGTGACCTAGACAATCAGCAACACGGTACGTGTGCCCTATGTGTAGATTGCAATTTCAAAATTGTACTACGAATTTTAAAACAGAATTACCCAATAACACTTGTCTTGAGTAATGAACTCGGGCAGTGAAACCCCATCATGTTAAAAGTTTCCAATTGGTTGAAATGAATTACCACAAATGTGATCATGATAAACGAAATATTTATCGAAGGGGTCATATTTTTCGAAGCACGTTTGTTTTGGTAAACATTAGGTAGGTACAGTCAGCATCAAAAGTCGATGACCACATTCAAATTTTCAAAATCACTGTACATTATATCACCCATAAATCGCTTAACAAGAGAGGGCGCTAGTATTGAATGAACATTTTTAAAGTTCAAAATTAATTGAACACTACTCGTCAAAGGTCACTGAACACCATTTTGTCAAAAATTGCTGATCGTTATAATATCCGAAAATATCATATCATTAAGTTTTACAAAAGTCACTGAACAATATAAAATGCTTGTTTTGGTTATCCAGTGCAATCACAGCAACGTCCAAAAATAACTTCATCAAACATCATTAATAACAAACAATCAACATCATTAATAACAAAAGTTACTGAACATTACTTTGTTTCGGATTGGTAGCGTGTAAATTTATACTATCAAAAGTAGCTGAACTGCAAACTAAAAAACGTTGACGATGTTGCTGTATTACGATTGAATAGTAACCATATTTGACTATCAAAAATCACGCAGATTCTGTTTGAATTTATACCATCGTGTAATTATTTATTTTTTTAGTTCGATTGAATTATAACCTTATTCGTAAAGCAATAAGATTCATTTTCAAAAATCATGCAGATACTGTTCAAATTCATACCGTCGACTTAGTTTATGATTTCTATAGTTACGATTTAATTAGAACCTATCAGTATACATATAAGACTCATTTTCAAAATTACCACAAATTCCGTTTAATTCAATTCTTTGGGAAACAGTTGTGGGTATTTGTAAAATTGTTTACCCTTGAATGTAAAAAGAATATTTCTACTTAATTATCACTTTGTATCGGATGTAGACCATTTTAAGTGTGGGAGAGCCATGGTTCGACATGAATGGGCCGGCTCGACCGGAGTGATACCACGATCTCACAGAAGACCGACGTGAAAAAACGTTGTGTTGTGTTTCGTCGTGTGAGTGAGGTGACCGGAAGTCCAATTACGCCCCCCCCCCTTTACCCTATCCCTGAATCCTCAACAATCCTCAATTTCTTAATCCAATCCTTAAGTTCCTAATCCCCAAAAGGCCGGTAACGCATTTGTAACGCCTCTGGTGTTGCGTGTGTCCATGGGCGACGCCGATTGCTTACCATCAGGTGATCCGTCTGCTCGGTTACCAGCTTAACCCATAAAAAAATTGTGGTTGCAATTTTTTTTTTTTTAAGAAACGTTGCCCCACACTAGGATTTTCTCCTGTATCGTGGGTGCGTGTATAAACATACAATATCACATATACATGACACCCACAATTATTTTTCATCTATAAATATTGTATTAGATATCAATTGCGCTTTAATAACAAATAAAAATTATGATGCCATTTAACTCGTCGAGTACCGGTTTTATAGACACAATTAAAGAACAATATCGCGGTCGCGGTCACCGGTGACCGCTTGGTGTTTGACAGTTTAATCTTCATATTACTGCACATGAACGTCACAGAATAGTGATATTGCGAGACTAAATCATGCCATAGAAATCTGGGAAGATTTTTGGGGGCGAGATACTTGTGCATATAATTACGTCTCCAAAATGTCATCGATGCCAATGGAGGGGACACTAGGTTTTAATTTTAAGTAGTTCAAGTATAATCATAATTGTAATTGATAAAAAATCAAACATTGTTTTTTTTATAAAACATTGATTTGATTATGAAAGTTTAAATTATTTTATTATGATAATTATTATGTTGATTAAAACAAATAATAATTATCTGTATTGATTTATCGAACCATTTAATTTAATTTTGTTGATATGAAATAAAAGGGTGGTGATTTACATACCATACACCCACCTGCCGAAAAAAATACACACACATATTAAACACAAAATGTCATTTCATTTTGTTCAGGGACTTTAGAGATAAACGATGGTATGCTATTTTTGTCTAAAATTTGTTCAGAAACTTTAGAGAAGAAGAATGTTTTGCTTTTTTTACTATAACTTTGTTTAGAGACTTTTGAAAAGTATGGTCACCTACTTATGCCCTTTTATGATAATCATTCATTTCTGGCGCTTGTCATGTTGAGCGATTTAGGTATAATACGGTGTACAGCGGTTATGAAAATTTAAATGTAGTCATCAACTTTTGATGCTGACTGTACTGTAAAATTTAAAAATCTCACACAACAGGGGCTTACTCTTGAAACCAATCTCAAAGGCAATACAATTTTAATCCAATAAAATCTTAATAATTATTCAATGTAAAAACTGTACAACTCCTTTTGTAGCTGTTGAAATTAGCATTTAGAGTACGGAATATAAAACCAAACTCAATACCAATTAGTTCATTCAATATTCACGCAATAGGGATGCAAAGGGCGCTAGTGTTTGCAACTCAAGAGTACGAAATTTCACAATACCAATGTCTATCGATCGGAATTGGATTCAAGAGTAAGCCCTCTGGTGTGCAATCTTATCAAACAAGCAAAAACAGTAGATCCACGTTCGCAATTTTTAGTAAGCGTTATGATTTACCTTTTGTATCATGAGGCAATCGGGAACTCTGGAAATTCTTTATGCAGAGCCTTGGCGTCTGATGTTTTGCAGTTGACAAGGTTTTGTTAAGAACACCCAAAAGCTTTTGGGTTAATAAATACTTAAATAAACATTAATCTTGGCCTTAAGCCTCTTCATGGTCAGCGCTGATCGCTTACCATCAGGTGATCCGTCTGCTCGTTTGCCTGCTATTCCATAAAAAAGGTAAGTTCTGTCTATTCCAGCTAAAACCACGATTAAAGATCAATCTATATCCTAAGGTATTTTTTTCATTATAGGCCTATCTGTACCGTATCCTATAGGTAATAATAAGGAAATCTTTACGAAGGCATAACAGTACCTACCCTATCTATATTAAAGTCTTAAAAACAAAACTTACTTATAGTGTTTTGAAGCATTTAGTACATAGGTAGGTAATAGTACCTACCTAAGCTTCATTAAGAGAACAATGTCTGCAAAGAACACTATAAGAATAACTTATAATCATCGTCCAAAACGAAAGTTTCATCGCAAATTGTACCTACAAGGGAACCAAACTAGGGATGGACTGTGCACAGTGCACACCTACAAACAACATTGTAAACAGTTACAAAATGGTCAGATAGTAAAATATAGAAACCATATTTACTTAATTTTTTTTAAGGTCTCTTAATAATCATCTCCCTCCTGGGTGAGCGGGAGGGAGTGTCAGACTTTTACTGACTAAAAACCACCCCGTTCCTTCTCTTGCACTTCGAGCCGGAGCCCCGGTAACCCGTTAGGTTCTCCGCGCCATATTTACTTAGTATAGTGCCACTATAATTACTTATTTCTAAATACAAGTGACTACATATCTGACAATAGGTATGAGTAAGGTAGACTGCGATGCGTGTACTATCTACATTTTCACGCATTGTTTATTTATCATCCATTTGCAATTGCAATTACTGTTTATTTCACTTATCATTTTATCGGGACAATGTTAATAAATATGAAGTTAATAAACGATGTGTAAGGACATTACCTATCGATCAATTAACTCAAGTTTTCGAGACAAAATTATAAAGTGATTTTCATTCAATTAATAAGATATGCTATCAATGAGCATTTGTTTTATTCTATAACTAGCTGCCCCGGCGAACTTCTTATCGCCCTAGAATCAAGAAATATCTTTTTCTTTCTTTCATAAGAACCTTCTCTCTTAATGATAACAAATAGAACAAAAAAGCATTAGTGAAATCGATCCAGGCATTCACACGTGATGCCGTGACCGTGCCGCATGCCGTGAAAAAAGGATATATTTTTATATATGTATAATTATAGATGTTTAGTTGTTAAACATTGACTATGATTTTCAATTTATCAACTTCATACCATTATTCAGTGAACACGAAAATTTGTTTTAAATATTTATCTTTTCGTAGAAATTCTAATTAGGTACTACATTGCATGTTTTCCCGTTATTTGTACGGGTGTTATTGGTCTAAAATGACGTGGTCTGAATGAATTCTATGTGTTTGTGCAGATCATGCAGTTTGTTTGTACCTGAGTTATTGCGACAGATGGCCCCTTTATCATTACCTACATTAATCTATATCTATACTGATCTATACATATAATAAAATCGTAGAAAAGTCACAACTGTACATTAATTAAATATTTTTTAAACGAATACTTGAGGCGCAATCGATACTGAAGCCAAACATAAGGTTTTTATAATTTTTGTCTGTCTGTATGTATATGTCCGGGATGATCTCAAAAAGTACTGCATGGATTTACTTCAATTTTCAATGATTATTACTAACAGGTCAGGTCAACATATAGGCTACATATTATCACGCTATCACCTACGGGGTACGCGCAGTAAATCACTATTCCACGCGAACGAAGTCGCGGGCACAGTTAGTTACTTATATTTTCTGCAAAATTGATACAAAAAGCTTGCAAGTTTCGTGTGTAAAGGTAATAATGTTATAATGTAGTGTTATAGTATTTTTAAAGGGGGAAATCATTGACTTCTCACGACTGAGTAAAGCAGGAGAAGAATGGGAGTATCAGACTATTATTGACTAAATTGTAACCTAATCTTCACACGAAAATTGCCCCTTTAAATATTATCATGGAAGTAAATAAGAAAAAGGCAATTGTAATAAATCAAAGAAATCAATATTTTA